ATTTAAAGTTATACGTAAACGTCTTTCAAATGTCACAATTTTCAAACTGATTTATTAAAGTATTCATTACCTCATGATAAAGTTATAGTTGTGTAACAAATGCAAAAGTTTTCCTAAATCCAGAGTGTCAGCAGGAGTGTGCTTGATACACTTCTTGTTATACAAAACTGTACGTTAGTGCATTAAAGTTTAGTATTTACAAGAATACCATTCATGTTAATTTCTTCCACATCTAGGTGAAATTTTCTTTGATCGACATTTCTTTTTCTGTTTACAAATAATCTCGCCCTTTTAGTATTTAGGCTTTGAAATCAGCATCAATTTTTTGTTATACTTGAATGTTTAACTCTGAAAAATTTGATAGACATGTAGAGGGCATTACAGTATTTTCTTTTATATACCTTGATATAAACTTGGCAGGTATTTATAATTATTTTGAAGGAAAATTATATTTTTGTTTACATGTGTGCGTTCTCACATTTATACTTAGACTTTATTTTGTATTCTTAATATTACAAGGTATTTCTGACTGACATGTTTTGTTTTGTTTTGTTATGGGTTATTCAATTTGTGATTTTGACATCTCAGGCTGTTGAAATAAAATTTAAAAAAGAGATGAGATTCACAAACTGATGCCTCATGCGAAATGTTATTATGCTTTGTGGAAACCTGTACGTATTTGTGTGGATGTATTTGCTTGTGTGTACGTTTGTGGTCCTGTTTTTATGTTTGTAATATAATTTTGTTTGATTGAAAGGAGGGCCGAGGGCCCAACCAACTGTAATTCCAACAGCAGTGATGTGTTCTGGACAGCAGGCAGCAGCGGATTGAGGGGCAGAACACTGGGCATCCCTAATGTTTAAAGACGATGGCCTATTAGTTCTGAGAGGGAAATCAGTCACATTTATGTTTCATATTCGTCTACCTCTCTAAGATACTGTCCTCAAGTTTGATATAACCTCTAACCATTCATAAAGAGCGTATCAACTTGCTTATAATAAGGAAGATAAATTATCCAACAGTTGATAAACACGTAAGTCACCAGAAAAACTTGAGAACACTTCACATTATACCCGGGGCGTGGTCGGATGTTAACCTCAAAACTAGTCACTTCAGTAAAAAAAGAAAAGAAAAAGAATTCCCTTACACAACGTCTTCATTGATCATGACATCGCGTGATTTGTTCAACCAGGGAGGTGAAAGAAAGGCGTCGAAACTCTTGTAATTTATTCAAACGCATTCGTGAGTTCTAAAGCGTAACAATGGGATGTGTAACATTCCACTTGGCTTTGAAGTTCCATGCTCCGAACCGCGCTTCCACTGCGGGGAGTTTTTGGAGGCCAGGCACCAGTTTCACATTTATTACCAAATATCAAATTACCGGCAAAATGTCAGTGTAAATTATAAACTTTATATAGGGATTGTATTGGGAATAGTGCATCAAACAATTTTTCAAATTTAGTACTCCGCCCTTCCTATACTTTGTGTGCCAGAGTTGGTAAAAGAAAAATTAGATCTTGACAGAAACTCTATATTTAAGTACCATGCGCTAATTTGTGCATGTTTTAATGTCCCGTCATTTAACCCATGATTTACAATCTTTAATAACTTGCCAATGCGTGTTTTCGCGTGTCTTTAGTTTTTTTGCAGTTGAAAAAAGGATCAAATTACACAAGTTTGTGTTCGCTTGTTCTACTTATTACACATTCAACAATTCATGAGAAATCATTGAAAGGGACAGCGAACAGTTGCTGGGATACCATTTTCTGATGTAGGAATTCTAAATCCTGAAATTTCATGCGCTCTTTTATCTCACCACCTGGTCAAAAGTTGCAGATTAACGCATAACTTTTCGGCGGCTTGGAGCATGGGGTCAAAGGAGAGCGGCTTGATTCCAGTCCTTCTATATATATCACGTCCCTGGTTCAACTTCCAGATCATTCATCGGATAGAGATAAAGGAGCTCCTCACATGTGTAAGATCAGCCGTCGGGATTATTATGCTGGTTCTCTCATTGACTATAATGCTATTAGAGTCAGGCGTTTTATAGGCGTTTTATAGCGTCTAGCAGAAATCTTGACTGGCACAAGGCCTAATATACATACAATGTTTAAGATCACGATTTCAAAACGTAAGTGAATATATAATTTTTTGAGAAAGGGGATTAAGAAGTAATCAGGATAATTATGATTATTCTCGTCCATATTATATTACTTTGATTGTGTAAAGAAATTAACATATTATATGTCAAAAACTGCTGTTTCCAGCCTCCCCCTCCGAATTTCCATTATTTTCCTCTCACACTCTCCTTCTCTCTCTCTAGACTTTCTTCTTCACCCCCCCCCCCCCGCGCCCCCCCCCCCCGCCCCCCCCCCCGCGTCCTTTCTCGTTCTCTATTTCTCTCACGCACGTACACACACGCACACACACATGCAACCAAGCATGACAATGACAATGACAATGACATTTTATTCTAATGTCACCCACATTGGGGTATTGGAGAAGTTTACAATCAGTTTGAATTTCTCAATTTAACACTGTAAAATATACAATACAAATCGAATTTATGTTAATCAATACAAAATAATACTATCGACAATAGTGAGAAAAATTATGATGATAATAATTATAACAATAAAATATTGATAATAATAATTGTATTAATAAAATTAAAAAAACGCACACACACACACACACACATGCGCGCGCGCACGTGCACACGCACACATAGAGCAAGCATGATTTTTTTCTCAACTCAGGAAACTCCCGAAATACATAGATCAACACATATTTCAACGTTATGAGATGTATAACAAATCCAAGAACCACCACATCCAATAATAATTGTGATAACGCTAAAAATGCCATGAACATAATTGAATACAGAAGTCTAAATAATAAATAATAATAATAATAACAAAATTTATAATGCGCACATATCCACCCCAAGAGATGCTCAAGGCGCCTAACAAGGTAAATACATTAAACTTAAGAAAGTACATGAGAAGTTACAGAGAACGAAAATAATTTATCAGTTCTCAGAATTTGCTATTATTCCTTCAAGATGAATAGCGAAAACTACATCACAAATAATATACTATATTTATATATTCATTCAACGTATTATTTTTACATTTCAATTGCATGTATACGAAACTACAACTACCTCTTATTTCACTAGTATTATAGCACAGTGCATAATAATGTTCTTTTAGGCTTACACTTTACTAGTATTGCATATACGATTAATCAATGATTACTCACTCAAAGAGCGAGCTAACGCTTTTACTAACTTCATTTGTATAAAAGCAGAGAAATAAAATAAACAGAATGGCGACAATTTGAAATAGATTTGAGATCACTAGGTCTATGCGGATATCAAATTGGTAGTTTGGTAAGTGAATTTCGGAATTGTGGTGGAGTCGCGGATAACTTTCCCGTCGGTGGTGGAATCTTGGCAAAGGAGTGACGAACAATTCTGCAGGGCAATTCTGAAACTGTGCACATGGCATATATTTGTTTATGTTATAAAAATGTGTGTATCCATTATCGTGTCGAGGGATGAGGGGGTTTGGGGGTTGAAGCCTCCTCACCCGCGGACTAACCCCCCCCCCCCCCCGTTACGTCACACTCCAATAAACTACTCTAAAAGAAAGCAGAAAAGCAGAAAAGCAGATTGGTGAAGAGCACATTTTTGTTTTGTGTGTTTTGGTCCCATAATTTTTTTTTTTTTTTGGGGGGGGGGGGGGTAAAGGTCAGCTTTTTTGGGTCACCCATTCAGCAATTTTGTTTTTGTTGGTTAGTATTATTTGTTTTTATTACAAAAAACAACAAAGGGGGGGGTTCCTACAAAACACACACATTAAAAAAAGGGAAAGGGGGATCAACCCCCCCCCCCCCTCTTGCGTACGCGCCTGAATGTAAACAGGCTTTCACAAAACCTTGTTTCAATCCATATAAAATAACCTTTAATTATTTTAAACAGCCTAGTTACTTCTTGTCTCATGATATCTCAGTTCTCTCTGCTCACTATTTTTGTCAGCTACGTCATTTCACACGCGTAAGGAGCATAAGGTGTTTATCTCGAATAGCGTATGAAAACTCAAAGGTTACTAAACCTAAATGCAAGAAGGAACACATATGATGATAAATATTTGTCCTTCCTTCGGCAAAAGATTTTGAATAAATCTATATAAATTACACGTTAGAAAATCTAAAAAGAGATCTATGTCATTGAGGAACATTACACCGCCTCAAGTGAAAACAAAATCATAACATTTACTGTACAAAATAATGTAGCGGATAACTTAAAATAGACATCTTTGCATTGTAAATGAAAGTTAATCGGAAGAATTTACATTCAAATTCAACCCTTCATCCCTTTATTAGCTAGCGAGTAATGATTTACAAATCACATTACATATAACCTATTTCTATAACATTTGGGAAATACCTGTTTAAGTTTCGTTATAACTCTTGTAACAATTGCAACAGATAAGTACCGTAGAATAAGCACATAGAAAATGAATCAGTATGAGCATCAAGATGAACGTATTACCAACTCTGTGTAGTGCATAGCATGTTCATCATTCCAATTTCATCAAATTTATTTATGTTTCCAAAAAAGCATTACAAATCGATTATAAACATTTACAACAACGTAGGAATATATATTGGGAACAGAGGGGTCGACTAAAAAGCAATGCTTGTACAGTTGTGGACCCCTCAAATTCAATTAAAGATAAACTTGAGTTCTGTTTTTTTTTTAAAAGAATTCTCACAGAATCAAACGAAACTTACACTCTGAATGTTCAAGATTACAAATAAATGTCATGTGCAAAAACAATTTTGGAAGAAACTGTATACTGGCTGAGTAATGAGCATAGGAAGATAAGGAAATCAAGGTAAGCTAGCCCCGACACCATTTGTGTAGTCCCATATTTCTGTGTTACTTTACCAAGACTGGGCCAAATTTATTATGATTTTGATGATTCCAGAACCTTGCAGTACACACCAATACCTATATGCTAAATGATCAACTTCCTCTGATCCATTCCTCACCTTTTCTTTCTCAATGCAATCGCATTACCAGAACTCACCTTTATCTTTAACAAGTTCGCAACTTTACAAGGAATTACAGAATAGGTTTTTAAAAAAGGGACGCCAACAGAGACGAGAAAAGGACAAGACAGTACTTTACATGACAAAGGAACACGGTCAGAACACAAGGAGTAGACGATGCCAAAAGGGAGTGAGAGATCGGGGGTATAGAAAATAATACAAAAGGAAGAGTTGCATTTGGGGTTGAGAAGAAGATGAGGGAAGAGAAATGCGCATTAGAAAGGAGATAAGCACGAGAGGGCATAATATAATATATCAAATTACATTTTGAGTCACTGAGTTGAGAAAGATCTTGTATTCAACTAAAACAACAGCAACATCTTATACCTCAATGAGGTTTATATGATTGTAATAAAAACAATTCTTATGAATATTAATCGATGGAGCCTTCCTATATAAATGTTTTTCTGAGCTAAGAGGGTCCGCAAGAGAGGTAAATGAAAAATCCTCCGAATGTCTTGTTTGGTAATTATGGACTGAGCTGTTTAAAAAAAAACATTTCTTGAAAAACAGATGGCAACATATTATTTATATAATCATATATTAATTGACCTAGTTGGACAAAATATAAGTCTTTTACCTTAAGTATACTATTTTCAAAAAAATTAAAGTCTGTATGGGAGCGAAAGGATAATTGTTGATCCAGCAAGTATCAATGTTGGCACCATACACCTTCGCCACGCTAGGGTTGTTTCTATATTTCTTCATAAGTGTCTCCCGGGTCTGATTTTGTGACATTTTGATAGTTAACGTCGATGTTGGGTTTCTTAAGATCTTGATAGTTATGGGGGTCGGTAAGATTCTGGTAATTAGGTGTGTCTGTATTGAGATCTTGGTATGCATGGGTGTCCGAGTCATCAAATGCAGGGTTCCCATACTTCGAAGAGGTCTCTTGTGCTTTATTTGGTGGCGACGCGGCTGGTTCAGCGTTCAAACGTCTTTGTTTAATCCTGGAAGTGAAATTCAATTCAAAACTACATTTATTTCCTTCTCCTTTGTAACATCAATGAATTAACATGCTTCCTGACCAAAATTAGTGTAAGGCCTACAAAAAAAAAGGTGTTTTATTGCCCTTTGCGACCGACCCAAAAATCTTGAAATCTAAGGTCGGCTTTTAATTTAATTTTAATTTTTTTACACGTTTTTTTAGAAAAAATAAAACTGAGATATATCAGCCCAAAGAGGGAGAAGAACAAAAAAGTTTTTAAAAAATTTTACAACGAACCGACCCATAATTTGGCACCTAAAGGGCAATACAACATTTTCTTTTGTTGAGGCCTAATGTACATAACCAAAACACCCATCACTCTAAAGGAACACTCCTAACGATGATATTAAATCTTTTGATTTTTTTTATTTCACAAATATATTGCGTAATTCTGTAGTTTTGTTTTTTTAATCATCTTTTTGCAACTTGAGCAAAAAAATGAAAGGGAGTTTTTCATTGTCTTTAGTGTTTGTCTACTTTTTGTCTGTATACAGTGTATTTCAACTATTTTAATGACCCTTAGACAACGGTCTTCCTGTCACTCACCTTCTAAAGATGACAATGACGAGAATAATGACCAGGTTGTTGATAACGAGGGCAGCCATGGCACTCCCTACTATCAGTCCTACTGACGCACATGGAGGGCAACCTATAATGTTACAATAAATGAATATGACTCATACAATGTACCAATCAAATACAGGAATCCGATGGCTCCCGTATGAAAGCCAATGGAAACTGGGGAATTTTTTGTTAAATTTGTTTGTTTATTAATTGCGTGTGTGTGTGTGTGTGTGTGTGTGTATACATGTATTATGCAATTAGGAACATTAGCCACTATAAGTATCAGCAGATGTTTGCAATGTTGACAGCTGGTCACAGCAACATGAAGTTCCTATGAGTAAAGATTGGATCGCTGCTTCAAAAGCATAGAACTTACAACTTACAAATGATAGACCCTTGCTATGGGTTGTTTGCTGTCCATAAATCCATTTTTGCCATGATTTGTAGGATCTCAGGGACAACAAATTAATTGCAAGTTGTTTCTGTGTCAGGAAGTAAAACATAACAATTCTTAGTTCCAAAAAGTGTTCAATGTAGATATTCTTGGGCAAAATGTGCAATCCATGGAACAAAAGAAGTTTTGTTTACCTTGAGATACACGCATCTTTCAAGTACTGGCGGTTAAGATAGAACTTTGTTGAAACATGTGGTCCATGTATAAAATATTATGGGAATGAGTAGAATTTAGTATTCAAAGTTTAAATTCTCATGGAAAAAAGGTTTTATGTATGAACACAATATTGATAAGCCTTATAATACTCTTACCCGGTGTCATCGTCTTAGCATTCACAGGTTCTGACCAATTACTAGAACCAGCTCCATTAACAGTCTGTACCTATATTATTACAAAAATCATGCTATACAATTTATATATTTCTTTTTTTAATGAACGATGTTGTCCTTTTAGCAGCCGAGTATTAGGGCAATTCTTTGGTTACTTATGAAAAGGGAATTTGCTCTTTCATGCTCTTTACACAGTTGAACTAAAAGTTCTAAAAACACATATATAGCTGACTTTTTAGAGGCTAAGTGAGGTCAACTCTGTGACAAAAGAAATAAGCTGTCAAAATGTGTTTTATACATCGCATCTCAAGTGCGGATTTTCAAAAAGGGATATTTGACAAAACATGCCATTTAGACGTTTTAAATTTAAAGGGCAATTTACCAATCTGAATGTAGTGCTCATGTCCTCTGAGTGCATCCATTGTTAAGTTCACTCGAATCTATTGCATCCACGCAAATATAGCTACCCCCAGTCAATGTTGAATTATATAATGGCAGTTTTGACCACGATATAAGCAAATCATTTCCCTCTTACGAGGGATTACTGACTTTCACGCCTCCCTCCACTTCTTCTTGTCTCAAAGCTTCCTCCTCATTTCGACCAACCTTACTGCTTTCTTCTTCATGACATTATATCTTTCTATTAATCTTTGGTCTTATTTTCCCTCTTAATCCATCCACTTCCAGATACCACACTCTTTTAACAGGTTCATCATCTTCACTTCTCAAACATGACCCATCCATGTCAATCCACTCCTCTTTACCTTCCCAAGACGTATACAAGTACATATAATAACATGACATGTATTACCTGAACTGAGTAGTTGGACTGTGCTGTCAGGTCTACCACAGTATGCTCTCCTCCAAACATACCATTCAATACTTCCTCCATCTTATAGTCACCATCAACAATGGGATCAGTTTGCTTGAAGCGGATGATATACTTCTGGATGTTACCATTGATGTTATATGGTAGAGGCGTAGACCAGGATACAGTGAAGGAGCTTGTAGTACTCTGTGGTATAGCCACATTAATAGGACTAGGTGCAACTGTTAAGGAAAAAACAGATAATTTGAGTCTATATTAATAAACTTTTATAAAGTTTTTATGAGAGGTTACATTATTTTTGGGGGGATGAGGGCGGGTTATGGTAAGGACTAAAAAGCAGTATATGAGCAAACAAGAACCTCATACACCATATATACAGTGCGTCCCAGAAAAAACGAAACCGAGACGAAAGACTTCATGCATTGAGTTACGTCTTTTGTCAATTCTGCTTTTTGCTACGGCAGGCAGCCAGTGAAAACGAATTATTTTGCTAAAATTATGAAAATGTAAGGGCTACTTTAAACAAACAGAACTTTGTCATTCCTTGCTCATTTTTCCTGATTGAGGTGTCATATGAAAGGGCAGAAACTCAACTTTCTAGAAATGTGATTTTCTTTTTGGAATTCAGGTATCGTCCGCCAAATGACTTTTTGTTTTCCTCTCTTCAAATTGATTTAATCACTCATGCATGAAATATGCATCATATGAGTTGCATCAAATGAAAGAGGAGGGTCTAAGCTTTCCAAATATGTGTCATTTATTAATTATAAATGTGACTAAGTTATGATAAAACGTCGATAATTCTCGGTTTCGTTTTTTCTGGGACGCACTGTATAGATAAAAGTTTTTAAAAATGGTCCAGTAAATTTGTCATAATAATAATAATAATATTTAATTTGTCATGAGACCAGGGCCCCGTCTTATAAAGACTTGATGTTGATCGCAACTTATTTGCGATTGATATCAATCGCAACTATATACATATTCAGAAATAAGAGACTGCAAACTTGCGATTGATTGGAGGACTTGCAATTGATTTGGATCAATTGCAACTCTTATAAGACGGGGCCCAGTAGTACTTTGTCTTGTGTGATATTGATTGCAATAACAATGTAACTAAATGCCATACATGACTTTAGTAGTTTACTAAAGGGAATCAAATAGACAGCTAACTAATATTACAAGCAGCAGAGTGAAATAGCCCTTTACACAAAAAAAATAAAACAAACACACAAATTAATAATAAACGAATAAACAATTAATCGTCTGAGATGGGCCTCAAGCTACACAGGCTAGGATCTACAAATATATATCCAATGCTCACTGTATACAACTGAATAATATTGATTGGATCTCATTTCCCAGCGTATCAATATTTGCAACAAAAGAATGAAAGAAAAAAATGTACTCTGTATTCGGCAGGCAAACTCTCAATTTCTTAGTCTCACTGCTTTTGTTCTCACCTTTTTTTGGCAGCACTCGTTGGAAAATGTGTTCAACAAAACTATATAAAGTAATTAACAGCGATTTGCACGTCAGTCTTCTACTATACATATCGGAATATTTTCCTTACAAGAATTCAAGATAACTAGCTGATGAAGTCTTACCTTCTTCAATCGTTTTGCCGATAGTCTCCCTGCTCCTATCACTTTCCTCGTCTTCATTTGATGCAGTTATTTGGATGGTATAGTCCAGATAGGTATCCAACCCTCTTATCGTGTAAGAGCTTGTGTCATTACGAACCATGAGAGAGTTTAAAGGAATTGAACCAGAGGGAGCGTAATATATCATATAATGAGTCACTCCACTCCGGCATTCTGCTGATTCTGATTGGAGATGCTGAAACATTAAGGAGCAAATACATGTCACATGCAGCACAATCACATTGAAGATGTTACTTTCACACTAGTAAACAAAGATGTTATCATATTTTGCCTACAGTTTCTTGCATTAATTATGATGCTGCAATCAACGTGATGGAGCATTCTGCAGAACAAGAATTTCTTGTTTTGTTCACAAAATATCTTTATATTACTAGCTTCCTACTTTAAAATGTTATTAAAACTGTATTATATAAACCCCAAAGCACACACTTTCAACTGGCAAACAGAAAAATTGGTACACCTCTTTTCAATTAGGAAGCATTTCATTTAGTCAAAATTTGATGTACGTGAAGAATGCCAAAGGCAAACTAGTGAAGTGAGTGACTTAACGTTCATTTTTGACAAATCTTGATGAAAGCGTAAGTAAAATTAAGTCTAATCAGGGTAGAACATAATTATATTAACCAGCTTCATGGCCCAAGTTGTGGTTCTACCTCAATGTTAGAACATTGTGACTATCAAAGCGACTCGGTAACATTGTCTCAGATCCTGAAACAAAATCCTGGATGTAGCTCATGCTGCAATCATAAGTATAAACCTTTAGGTCAGTCATGAATCTATGGCTTTTACAAGCAGATCGCCTGTTTGATTATCAAGATATTTATGATTGGAAATCGAAATTTCATTTTTCGTTTACCTAACGGTTTTTTTAACACTACAGTCTACTGGGGAAAATGAGCATAGTAAAACCGGTCACTCAAAAATTTTCACTTATTTGAGACACTTCATATTCATTTTGAAGCGCAATTTTGTAGGGCTTCAATATTACACCATATCACAGATACTGATAACATGTAGGGCCATGCATCTCAGATTTAACATTGTTAAACGTTGCCTTTATTAAACAGTTATACATTTGTGTTCTGGACGAGTCTTTTCATCCAACTACATTTTACTAAGTGACCAAACAGCTATTCTTCAAACGGTTCATACCTCCCATGTCACCTCTAGCTCTTTAGGGTTGATGGCTAAAACTTGTAGTCCAGTTGGAGAAGCACTGGGTTCTGAAGTTTAAAATTATATAGACGATACTTAATGGCTTGTACCTGCAGTAGATAAATTCATTACATGTACATGCACGTCTTAGTAAAATCATCCATTGTTACAACAGGTACTCTTCATGTGATTTTAAATAAACGTCAACTTGTGAAACATGAAACTACCCATAGGCAAAAAACAACGAAGGATGTTATAAACACATTCGGAAAAAAGCATATTTTATATAAGAAAATTTCAGTTTCAAATGTTAGATAGATAGAAAAATTAAAAAGCAGAATATATATGGAATGGAAAATACAAATATTTCTATGAGACAGATTTAACTCACAGAACTAAATAAGTTAAAGAGCATTCAATCATTGGAAAGTGCATATTTAAATAATTTACATTTAATGTAATACATGTACTTTGTTGTAGATAAATGTAAATTGAAAAGTAAGCATCTTCAAAAATATTCTTCTGCACTCGGAAATCATGACAAATCCTTGGGAGATTCAATTATGTATTTTCTGAACATAACTTACTTCTACAGAGAGTTATTGTGTTGTTCCTAGGAGACATGGGTCCTGTTCCACCTGTTCCTTCCCTCACTGCTGCTACACGAAACCTGTAATCTGTGTCGGGTGTCAGGTTACTAACGATAGCTGATGTTGTGACTTGGTCTACTCTCTGATCCGTTACCCAGTCAGTTTCCTTCTTTACAAAGACATCATATCCTACCAGAGGAGGATCACCTTTGTCATCTTCTTCAGACCATGCATTCCATCGAAGACCTACTGTAGTTGACGTGGTGCTCAATATCACTGGTTCTTTCTCTATGACTGGCAGAACTGACAAAAAGGAAAAGAGACAGAAATAATTAATACAATTTATTGAAATAACCGTCAAAATCATTGACAATGACACACCTATCATTTAAGTTTCTTCCATCAAGTTAACGTGAAAATAAAATTTACCAAAGTACAAACAACAAAACCTAACAGATTTCCTGTAACCCTGTATTCAGACAATGTGACTGCGAATGATTCTGCATTTAAAGATAATGAATTCCTGCTTCCTATTACAAACGTATCTCACAGAAGTACAGTAGAGTAAAGTGATGTCACGCAGTTTGCTCACCATATGTTGCGTTGGTAATGAGCGTACTGGGATAGCCTACACCTTCAACAATAAGACTGCACTCGTATCTCCCATCTTCCTGTGGATACACACTATCAACATCAAAGACAACAGCTTGTTCTGACCCTAAGACAGTGCTAGATCTCCTGGTGATTCCTGTCCTGTTATTTATGTCTCCAGTACGTCTGTAAAGATCAACTGAGGATGCATCGGGAAGTGGGATAGCCTCAACATAACATGTGAAGCTAGACGGTTGATATGGGTTCACTCTCACTGGAACCAATCTTAATATTCCTGTCAAGAATCAAACCAGACATTAAACACTAAATTATGCACCGACTTATCGAGACAGAGCAAACCCTAAGGCCAATCATTTTATTAAAAATCCGCGCGCTTTATGTAGATAACTTACAATACATATGACAAACAAATCCTACATGCATTTTGTAAAACATTGACCATCAACATATTCATCAATAAAAGAAAGAATTCGATTCTTCGAAAGAGTTCGAAAGAATATCAAATTACTGATAATTTTGTTGTTCCTGTCAAAAACCAAGCATAATTACAAATCATTACATACAACTTTATATGTCTAGAGCAATAGAAGATTTCAACCCGTTCATTTCTTGATAGTAATGCTAATAACAATATTTAATATTTAATTTTTATATAGCGCTTATTACAAATTTCTCTAAGCGATTTACAAATATACTATTACCCCGGTCATTGGATTCCGTGCTTGCTAACTATGAAATGACTGGGTTGAAAATCTTCTATTGCTGTAGACATGTAAAGTTGTTTGTAATATAATGATATGTAATACACGTGTACATGTACATGTAGGTGTACCTAAACAAGGGAAGATCTTAATTTGATTATTTTGATTAAAGTCTATTTGCTTAATAGTATATTTTTAAAGCGCTTAGAGACATTTGTATTAAGCGCTATATAAGAATTAAATATTATTATTATCATCATTATTATATGGCAGTGAGGCAAATCATACATGCTTCGTGAAACCACTGACTAATATCAATCAAGATGTCTATCCACTTGAGAAAACTATTTTGTACTACAAAGATTATTAAATTACAGAAAGTCATTTGGAGGATTTTTTTTTTTTTTTTAATTTCTAACATTACCATTACACTTCCAATTACAGCATGTATCGTGTAGGAGAAACTTCATTAAAATAGAGATTGGACTTCATACAGAGCAAACAATACAAAATAGTTTTCGAACTTATGTGTACATGTTCAATGTCTGCAACCAACAAGACAATGATCAAAATAATAATGGCTATTCATATAGCGCCGGTATCCCCCATGTACTGATACTCATGTGGCTCTGCATAGAAATTAAACTTCTTGACCAAGATTGTGATTAACATCTTTAAAAATGAGGAAATACATGCGCATATAATATGCACTCTGAAATAGTTTTCATCCGAACCAATTTAAGCTGAACAAGAAAAGAAACCAGAAAACAAAATGCTAGGTATAATTACTTTGACAGTATGGTCCAGTCCAACTATCAATGCATTGTCCCTTGCAAAGACCCCTCTCCGTCTCACAAGCTTCTGGAGCACAGTGACATTGCTGAAGACAATCCAAACCAAAGGTACCCCCTTCACACTCTGAAAAACATAAAACAAAAGTCGAATATATTGGAAACATCTGGTCAATGATCATACCTCAATACCAAGGCCTATTCTTTGGCTGAGGAAATAGGTTTGTAAACACAAAAATAAAATCATTTCAATCAGGTAAATTTATTCGATTTTCTCCTGGCTCACGTCTTTGTAGTAAGTTTAACTTTGTAATAATCGAAATGATAATAAGGTATTCATATAGCGCATTTTTCATATACATGCACAATTCACTTTACAGTTATATTGTTCACAGAAGAGGTGAGTTTTTAGATAATTTTTGAAGGTATTGACAGATTGTTGGTTAGAGATATCGGTAAGGTTATTCCACAGTTTGGGAGCAGCAGTTGTGAAGGCTCTATCACCAAATGTGGGTAGCATCTTGGGAGATGGGTGGTTATACCGTGGTTCAGCGTGATGCCTTGAGTGGGGCGAAGGGAGTAGAGGGTGGTTGCCTGATAGTTATGAGTTCAAATAGGTAGGGAGGACAGAGCCAGACCGTGGATGTATTTGAAGGTGAGAAGAACTATTTTGTATTGAATCCGGGGCCTGATGGGCAGCCAGTTCAATTGACGAAGGGTAGGTTTCATGTGACAGGACTTGGGTGAACCTGTGGCAAGTCTGACGGCACCATTTCGAATTAGCTGTAGTTTCTCAATGTGGGTTGCAGTGGCATAGAGTTCTAGACCATAGTGATGAAGGCATTGGTAAAAGTCAGTAATTACCTCTGGTCTTGATACTTGCGAATTCGACGGACGGTAGTAAAATCGGAAAAAGGCTGCCTTGCATGTCATCCAAGGACATGTCGATTCATGGTCATGTTCGAATCAAACATGCAACCCGAGTTCATAAGATGCAGGGAAGGTATCAGTTTTGCCGATCATGATGTGGGGTGTTGATCTTCTGCACTGCTGACGTGTGGTAACGACGAGGAACTCTATGTCTTGTCATCGTTGATCAGCAATCTATTGCTTTCATGATTACAAGTAAAGGTCCAGTACTGCTAAAAAATATGTTGAAGCCAGCTGTTCAGGGACCACCTCTAGATCTGCTGTTATCTTGTTTACCACTTTTAGATGGACAGCTCACCATGCTGGCTCCAACTTTTCATTTTAAGACAAATACTTTTCATAACTAGTGCAGCTCTTTCTCTCTGCTACAAAATACTACGGATGATTGTTGTGTGATGCTATCCAACGGAGCAGACCAGACGTTAGTTCCTAGGACAATTATTCTGAGCTGTATTTCAGCAAATGTATGGGTTAGGGCTAGGGTTGCAATTAGGTCTTAGGTTCGGTTGGGTTTAGGGTTAGGGTCAGCTATTGGGTCAAGGGTCGAAGATAAGAACTTGGTTAGGTGTAGAATTACAGGGAACAGGTGCATAGGTATCGTATAACAAAGAATGACTGCTATTTTGGGGGCCATATGAACAACTCAAGTGTGTTCAGGGGCAGAGTACAGTTTCAAGATCACCTTAGGCAATATAGTTTCAACGTTGCCCCTCAAAGCAGTCAATATTTTATACTAGAATCCCCATCCAGAGTATACATCTATAAAAATATATTTACTATCACAGCACTATGTATATATATATATATATTTGTATATGGTTGATATGACCAATATACATACATGTACATGGATTTATGACTGTTCATACATAAAACAATCCTGGTGTGTCATGCATAGGCGGATCCAGCCGGCGGCAGGGGAGGGGGCCCGATTCGTGAGAAAATATTTAGCCAGCCGTTGAATAATATTGCGCCCCCCCCCCCCCAAAAAAAAAAAAAAAAAAAAAAAAAAAATGATATCGCACCCCTCCCCCCCCCCTTGAGCACCAGGGGAGGGGGCCCGTCTTCAAATAAAGGTAAAATTAACGTGTTTTTACCTGTTTTTCCTCCAGGGGAGGGGGCCCCCTCCCTGGATCCGCCACTGGTGGCATGCACACTGCACCAAACTTGATGAACATGTTTTATGTAGTTTGAAGAAAAATGAATGAGGAATTGGTATGGAAAATTCAACACCCTTTATTAAAAAATAGCATTTTACCTTGACATTTGACCTGGCCATTGCGTACTTTGTATCCTAGAGCACACTTCTGCTCAGGGCACTCTCCAGGATCTTTATCACATGGTTTATCATTCAAGCAATGACATTTATCAGTGCATTGAGATCCAAAGTAACCGCCTTCACATTCATCTGGGACTGGGGATTTTAAGAAGAATATTTAAACAATAATTCAGCAAGCACTTGAAAATGATACTAGATGGAGTCCAGAAAATATAAATCGTTGTCATTATAAATATTTTTTCTTTACAACTAGTGGTTATATTTTTGTTTTACTATTGATTTCAATTATTACACATATTCTTGAATTTAACAGTGGCTTCACTAGATAAATTCGTGTATTTTTAGAAAGAATTAATCTCTTTTATTAATGAACTTGAAATGGGCCTTGTGGCAGATTAGCCTGGTGCTAGACAAGTTATCCAATGAAGTCGTCCAGTCGTCTGATACTACTACGACTTCTACTACTACTACTAATAATACTAATAATAATATTACGTCTAAGGGAAATGGAATATACGGGAGAGTTATCCCCAAAAGACAGCTTAAGAGTGGGCATATCTACAAAATTAGAAATATAATATCTTCAAGTTAAACCATTGACTACTGAATTGTCTAATTCCACAAAAAAAAAGTATAAATACAGGAGCCAACCGGGTCTTGTAGGCAATGGGGTTAAAAATAACAAAATTACAAATAATACAAAGCTGCAGTGACAATGTATAATTTGGGGAAAGCATTTATGTCATATCATTTGTTATCAATGCTGACCATGACTTACTTTGACAGTTATCCCCAGACCAGCCAGCCTGACATCCACCTGTACATATTCCACTGTAGATATCACATGATGAACCACAGTGACATGTCTGTGAACATCCTGGACCATATGTACCCATAGTACATTCTGTAATAGAATTAAAAATACAATCAAGATGGGCAAATACAATACATTCATTAGAAAGAAATGTTGTGCATGCTACAATTATTTCTTCTTGTCAATTTCTAATCTTCTTCGCCTTCGCCTTCTCCTCCTCCTCCTTCTTCTTCTTCTTCTTCTTCTTCTTCTTCTTCTTCTCTTCTCCACTGAGTAGCACCTGACCTCACTCATCAATCTAGCCATATATATATATATATATATCATGGTATGTGCTTTTGATATTCCAAGAAAAAATACAATCTTCTGAGAATTGTAGATGTGCATGATTGTATGATAATTTTTAGGCCTTCTAGATACATGTATTTTCACTATTATAATTTAAGCACAATTATTAGACTATCGAAAGACTTACGTGTGTTACATGCTAGACCATGGGCACCGACGTCACATGAACATCCATAAGGATCAGGCAGGCAAAAGAGAAACCCATGACATTGTGTGGCAGCATTAATGTTATATGAACATCGAAACTCGCAGCTCAATCCAAATCGATTTCCACCAGAATTTCTACAAGCTGAAACAAAATAGTTGCAATGTTGAATCAAAACCTTATAGACTTGCATATGAAATAAGATTTCAGGAGATAAATTTCAAATATGGTGGTTGACTTCCTGTAACCTCCTTTGCAAAATTATTGGTGGTTTATAATGCTCTTTAAGGATAACAGCCCTCCCATTCCATGGATAGCAAAGTTCGTCGATCATAGAAATTAATGTTATTGAGACATTTATCAAGGCGTTATTAGACATTCATATAGTATTAAGGAATAAGAAACAAAAGCCAATTTTTTCCCCTGCTGTATATAATTTTTCATTCGTGTTTTGTATTGATGTATATGGTGTACAGTGTATATACATGTACATGTAGAATGACCCGCAACTCTGGTAGAGAGGATCACTTTACAAAGTATTTACAAAGACATTTTACGTTATATAACAGACTGTTGATAATACATGAGAGATAATACCTTAGAAACAGAATTATAAATCATAAATGAATATGATTCTTGGTAACGATTCGTGGTAGAATGAATATTTACAAGTACACATTTTAAACTTGAAAAAGACATGATGTTTGATACTACGATTTATCTATCTCCTCGACAGGAAGAAGAATATTTGAAATGAACATGTAAAATAGATGGATACTACTCATTTCATTTACAATGGAATAAGTCCAGAAATATCTTCCTCAATTCACCTTTTAAGAGATAGAAATAAACATCATTCCACATGAAGTTCTACAGGCCTACTTACTTTCTAAACAATTCGTTCCCATGAAGTTGTTAGGACAGATACATAGACCAGACTTGTCATCACAGATTCCACCATTGTAGCATTTATCACAGATACCATAACACTCAGGGGGACCCCACTTACCAGCAGGGCATTCTAATATGAGAAAGGGAGAGTAAAAGATAATTATGTAAAATACATGTCATTAAAGGTTACATTTTAAAACAGATAAGAATATAGATAGCAGATAAACAGGGTAAAAAAACAATTGACGTAGACAATTAAAAATTTGGTTAAAAAATAAAGTTCTCGAACGTAGAACTATAGTGTATGTCATTGGATCCTCTCAAAAAGCCCTATCTGAATGAAGCAGGAAAACACATGTACATATACCTCTGACGATGAGTCTGTATAAACCTCCTCTATTTTGATTCCTCTCGTTATCATAGTAGATCTCATAGATTCCTTGGTCTGATATCTGGATTGGGTTTGGGAAGCTGATCTGAGTCTGCCCATCAAATGATGTAAGAACCTCACTTCCATCTTTCATCCAAGTAATCACATTGTCACTCTCATCAGGATTACTACGACTAGTCATGCTGATCATCACCCCAGTGTCATTCACATTAACCGTTTTTGTAAAAAATCCATCACTTGATATGAATTTAGCTGTTAAAAGAGATAATAATAAATTAACAAATTATTAAGTTAACTGTAATGCATTACATGATGTAGCACCTAAAAGTCACGTGTACTGTAGCAATTTACTCACTATAGGAAACCACATGCTTAATAATAAGACTTTGCATTCAATTAGTTCAATGGTGAAGAGTGTGTCACTTTAAAACCGGCGCGTGACAACTACACAACATTTATATATATATATATATATATATATATATATATATATACAGTGCGTCCCGGATAAAACGAAACCGAGAATTATCGATGTTTTATCATAACTTAGTCAAATTTATAATTAATAAATGACACATACAGTATTTGAAAAGCTTAGACCCTCCTCTTTCATTTGATGGAACTTATTATGATGCATATTTCACGCATGAGTGAATAAAATCAATTTGAAGAGAGGAAACCGAAAAGTCATTTGGCGGGCGGTATCTGAATTTCAAAGAGAAAATCACATTTCTAGAAAGTTGAGTTTCTGCCCTTTCATATGACACCTCAATCAGGAAAAATGAGCAAGGAATGACAAAGTTCTGTTTGTTTAAAGTAGCCCTTACATTTTCATAATTTTAGCAAAATAATTCGTTTTCACTGGCTGCCTGCCGTTGCAAAAAGCAGAATTGACAAAAGACGTAACTCCGTTTCGTTGACAATCAGCCATGCATGAAGTCTTTCGTCTACGGTTCGGTTTCGTTTTTTCTGGGACGCACTGTATATATATATATATATATATATATAAAAAGTGCGTAAACTCTGACATGGCAACGGGTGTTCCAGAGTATGTAGGCGTGAAGAAAATGGTCTAGGAACGTCAGATGTAGCTGTACTTTACAATTTTATTACGAGCTTTCGGCTTGTGAGGCCTTCTTCAGGTTCTTGCTTGTGTGTTGGGCTGTCGGTGTGTTTATTCGGTTGAAAGCTCGTAATAAAATTGTGAAGTACAGCTACGTCTCACGTTCCTAGACCATTTTCTTCACGCCTATATATATATATCCATGTATTGTATAGGTGTTGACCGAAATCAGGAACCAGAAATAATAAAAGACACTAAAGTATATAGGATAACCTCACTGTTAATATTTTAAAATTACAATTTGAGATCATTTCCAAGATGAGAACATGGAAAAGAGTATGTAGCATGTCAAAATATGTTAGGACTTTCCTTTGACCATTCGAATGTTAATAAACAGCATCAACATAATTGGGATAATTTTAGGCTCAACTCAATTCCGCGAATGCTTTGTATACGATAATTACTCTAAAATCTCTAGATTCATTCTCATTATACATGTGAAACATCAAGCCTTTTTAATATAGCCATTATCAAACATTCATCTTTGACGAGTCATCTTATTGAATCACTCTCGCTCCTGACCCTCAGTAAATCGTATGGACAGTATATAAAGTCTCTGCTGTACGCGACATTTTCCATAGTAGCGCATCATTTTCAATGCGGATTATAAATGAACTATATCCAAAAAAAACTTCACATCTGTTCATAGCTCAAGATACCCTACCTCTGTTGTTATAGTGCATCATGTGTAGTCTACAATATTGGATAATACATCTTTAAAAAAAAAAGGAATTCCTATACGTATTATGATGAATGGAATAATAATCTTACTGTCATTCCGTTGGAACATTGTAGTAACCCTTGTAACATCTCGATCAGGTTTAGAAGCCTCACAGTAGAAAGGACCGAAACCATCTCTATCCCATCCATCTGCTGCAGGTAATTTGACAACTCTGGTCGTTGGAAAACGACTGAAGTGACTCTCATCCGCTGGTGGTGATCTGTCTGTTGTTATGGGTGCTGATCGACCAAATGATAGTATAGCGTCTGTATCTGGTTCACTGCGGTAACATTGATACTCAAACTGGCTAGATGTATCTACATTGGTGTATCCCGCGGTCAGCACTGTGATATGAACAACCTCACCTGGAATACCAATAAAGATTTTACTTTTTTTTACAGTATACAGTTAAAGACTAAATTATTCATACCCATATACCCAGTTTTGCCATTTTCTGAATATGTAAACAATTTTGTCCCAACTATATTTGTTTCTTGAGAATGTGACATATCAAAGCTTACATCAAAAAGCAAATAACAAAGGCCCTATTTCAACCAATCCACCTTTCATTCTTGAGTTATAAACAGAAAAGAAAATTACAAGGGGTATGAATAATGCAGATGTTAACTGTGAGCCTATACTCATTTTCATTTTCCACATGCATTTTGGATTTCACACCACCAAGTAACTTATATCATATATGTACTATATGCAATCACTTAACAATAACATAACTGTAGAATAATAAAAATCTAAGTCAATTGGTGGCCTATTGAGAAGCAATGTATGTGAGTGTATGCCCCTTTGCGAAAATTAACATTTCAAATACGAACGGAAAATATAATTTTAATAATATTGCGTATTTCTATAGCGCGTGCATAGATCCACCAAACAAGGTGCTCAATGCGCTCAGACTATAGTAGACGTTATAACTGCTAGGGTATCGATCTCGGTGCTCACAGCATTCAAGGAATTCCTTCTACCAGTACCCATTTAACACTTGGGAGAAAAGTGACAATCGCAGATTGTCTTTGTGAAAGGACTCGCACCAACGACTTTCCAATCTCATGTCATGTTTTTAAGCCACTCGACTACGACTATATTATGCTTAATCGAATATTATTGTCTTATCAGGGTTCTTTACTAGAAAAGAAGTACCAACAATTCGTCCTTGTTTTCACGAAGTGATGGTAGTAAGGAAAATCGTAACGCAAAGTGAATGCATTTTTTTTTTACTACCGTCACTTCGTGAAAACAGCGACGAATTGTAACCGCGAAAAATCCAAATGAACTTTTTGGTACGATAATTCCATAACTATGAAATCAGTCCATGTTCATGTTTGAGCTTCATTTATAGATTATTCCATCTTTAATTATTCGCTTTATTACAATGGGGAAAAAATTGTTGCAAAATTTGTTGCGATTCTCTGAACTGACAATGAATTAAATGCTGAACGTATGTTACTTCTACCTGCTTTCAAAAACCACATTACCTACGCAATGTTTTTCAGTATGCCATTCAAGGTAGAACAAGTTGCATTTCGTTTTATGCATTCACAAGAATCAGCTTCATTGACTCAAGATACGAACATTCCTTATCACATATAGGATATTCATTACCAATAACCATCAAAATGCACACTTCCTTGCTAATGTAGAGTTCCTTGGATTCATTCGTAGAGCACTATAGAGGGCCTCCTAATCTTTGGAGCGGGCACCTCTCTGTGCTTTGCTCTTACAGGTGAGTTGATCAAACTTCAACCAATTTTGTTTATTTAAATATTAATATTGTTATGCTAAATATTTGTTATGTACATATGTGTATTGTGTCAGAACGATTTCAGTGATTGTTTTGATGTATCGTGTGGGTTGATATGATTATATCGAAAGCGAGGATTTAATGTTCAAATGTGTGATGCTTACCGTTATGATTTGTTATATGCATTTACATTATAGTACATGGTCATGTACACTGAGTTTAATGCGGTATCAAAATTGGGTGAAGTGCGTGCGCACTAATGTTGGACCTGGTCCCAGGGCCAGGACCAGGGTTAACCTCTATTTATGTAATGTGTATAGGTCTTGGCTAGGTTACGCTCTATACAGGGTGAGTCAGAAAAAATGTCCCAGTTTTTAAAAGTTGTATTGTTTGACATTTGACTATTTAATCAGGGGTTGCATGATATGTCTTAATAGAGTTATCCTTCCAGTACATTTAGGTACCATTTTCATTTAAATCCCTTCACGCATGACTGAACATCAGACAATCTTTACAAGACTGCCATATTTTACTTGCGCCAACTTACTGGGTGAGGAATAAAACAGTGCATTGAACAAAGACAGTCAGACGCACACACGCACATATATACAAACACAGGCAACACACACGGTTACAATTGTCTCATAATTTCCCCTTTTCTGATTAATCATTGATTTTTATCAAGATCCCTGAATGTTTAAGTGGCATTTCCCTGACAATCTTTCCCTTTAGTACACATTCACTACCACCAGGTGCGTACGCAGGGGGGGGGGGGGGGGTTGGGGGTTCAAACCCCCCCCCCCCCTTTGACATTTTTATGTGTGTAAACCCCCCTAAAAATAAACTAAACCCCCCCCCCCTTTGTTGTTGTTTTTTTTTTTTTTTTAAATTAACAAAAAAAAAAAAAAAAAATTATGCCCACGGCTAATGTAAAGTGACCTTACCCCCCCCCCCCCCCCCCCAACGGAAAAAAATGTCAAATTTTCAAATTTCGAGACCAAAAAAAAAAAAAAAGTGTCCGCTTACCCTTAAAAAATCCTGCGTACGCCCCTGACTACCACCATCATATCATCATCATTGTCATCATATTAATCTTAATCATCATCATCATCATCATCATCATGAAGTGCACATGAATCCAATGGGCTATCTCAATACGTAGGTACATTAACAATCGTTGGCTGACCGCCTACATCAGCTCTTCGGCAACAGAGTTATTTCGCTGAATGAGGAAGTTGAGTGGCACCGAGATCACCAGATCTCACTCTCGACTTCTTCTTGTGGGGGCACTTGAAGTCAAGGATCTTCAGCAGCCCACCTGTTAACATCGATAAGCTTCGGAGGAGAATCGTGGACGAGACAGACGTGGTACGTACGCCAAGATGGGGACATGATCCGGCGAACTTTTCAAGGAATGCTTCACCGTGTACAACTGTGCATCAGGAGGAATGGCGGCCATGTCGAGGAGGACTTTGGGGAAACAGATTCATTATTATACCACAATCAAATACCTCATCAAATACCACCCAAAAAAAAAAGGTATTCACCGACGCTTGCGGTATTTGTGTGTGAGTGTGTGCCTCTGTGTGTGTGTGTGTGTGTGTGCGTGTGTGTGTCTATCTATCTGTCTGTCTGACTGTCTTGGTTCAATGCACTGTTTTATTCCTCACCCAGTAAGTTGGCGCAAGTGAAATCTGGCAGTCTTCTAAAGATTGTCTGATGTTCAGTCATGCATGAAGGGATTCAAATGAAAATGGTACCTAAATGTACTGGGAGGATAACTCTATCAAGACATATCATGAAACCAATAATTAAATATTCATTCTTCAAACAATACAACTTTTAAAAAGTGGGACATTTTTTCTGAATCACCCTGTATATGTAATGTGTATAGATCTTGGTTAATAGAAAAGAAGTGCTTATGATAGAGTTTAGTGTTAAATTAAAAGCATTGCATGTTGTTTGTATTCTGGTTGCTAAGGGGTTAATAATTATGACACATCAAACAGTGATGATCAAACTTTGTCCGACTATCTAGCCATTAGAGGGATTCTAGCGCCCTCTATCATTTTAAATCTTATTTCTCATTTTGCATACCGGTAAAAGAATATTGTTACATGTTAAATTGATATGGAATAACAAGAGTAAGAGCGGTGTTTAGGGTTAGATCCGGAGATTATTGCAGTTTGTTTGGAAGTAAGAAAGTATGGAAGATGAATGTTTGGATTTGAGTGGTTGATGAAAGTTGGATTTGATGCAGATATAAGGAGATGTATAGTTTCCAGGATTTATCAATGTTTCTGGTCTTGGGATATTCTGATATTTAAAAGCAGAGATATTTGTCTTTATTCCATTGTTATGATAGTGTTAGTTTCATTATTCATGATATAATATGTGCTTACTTTGAAAAGGGGGAGCCAGGATAGCCCTATTTAAGTTGATGTTATTAGGATATTTGCATTGCATGTTTTAATATTACAATGTACAAGTTTAAGGTATCATAGTTTATTGAACAAGAATTAAGGATAAGATGGATTAAATCATTTATTCACTGAGTAGTGATATAGAGGTCACGTGATAAGGTTGTTCAACCTAGCTTAGTGTGTTGGTTTATCCAAATTTGTGAATTTGTTGCTTTATATTTATAGGAGTTTTATATTGACTGTACTTGTTTAAGTATTTGGGTCAGATATTTACCTGTGTTAATATTGAGAGTTTCAGCTACATTGTACTGTGGCAATTGGTTTTTAAAGGGCAAATGTAATCGTTTTATATTTGATAAAATGACATGTTTTGGGGAATGCATGATCTTCATGATAATCAGCATTATGTGATACATATATGTAATATGATTACTACTAATAAAGACCTCTCTGTGCCTTGCTCATACATATACTGAGACCCGTTCCCCACTCGGCTGTTTTGTTCTTGACCTCTAAACTAATTTAAAATCATAATATACAATCGTGGGAATAACTTTAGAAGAAAATATAAGCAAATAAACAATTGAAAATATAGTATATAAGAAACAAAACCCACAGATAGACCATCTCGCTGCTCAAATATGAGGTGATGGTTACCCAAACATTGCCGCGGACCCCAACCCCCCTAATCGTCCAAAGTTTTTCGTGTATCCCCCCTCCTAACAAAAATAACAGAAAGAAGAAAAAAAGATTTGCAGTCTGTAATACTTAAACGTTTCGTTCTAGCGTTTCCCTAAGCTAAATAACATAGAGTTCTATAGGACTATAGGACCGAGAAAGAAAAGCATTTCATCATGGAGTTCTACTAGCCTGATTCCATTTTATACTTTCAAGTCTGCATTTTAGATTTCATAGGCAAAGGTGCAGCTCCCCCTGAACTGTGAAATTACATATATTTGTGCGATGGCAAGTATGTTTGGAGGCAGTGGTGTGGTTTATCTGTCATTGTGTGTCTTATCTAGTATGATTATTTTGTAAAACTTTTCAGTTTTTTTTTCTGTTACATTTTAAATGCAAGTTTTCAATGGAAATCTAATTCGTGCAAGCAACGTTGAGCCCTCCCGCGGAAAAAAGTTACCCTTTACGCATTATGTTCATTATAGGGCTATTTGCTATAGGCTATAGGGTTATGGTCACAAAAATATATTTAAAGGGATAGTTGAGTTCTGTTTTCAGACCGCAAATGCCTTCAAAGTGAATGTTTATTGCTCTTATTTTCTTATTTATGACATTTATAATGCCCTTTTAGGACATAACATTTACTATGAAGGTAATGTTAGACCTCAAAATGTGTGAAATTTAGCCAATACGATCATACCAATTTAGCTCTACTTTCAAAAAAAATATGGTGACCGTTAATTAATTAATCAATTAATAATAACAATACTTGGGCCGGCTGGTTGGGCGTAATATAACCAACACGAACGAAAGCCGAAAAATGCCAACATCGGCTTTGGCTGAAATACAACGTAAAAGGCGCCATTTGGTTTTTTTCAACGGCTTATTCAAATTATCGAATATTTGTGGTGGTACACACATATTAGAAATCGTTATATTTATGGATATTTCAGCCGTCTCTGAACCGATTTTGATCAAACAAAGATGAATTTGTCATTTAAGTTGTATGTTCTTTCAAATTTGACACTCAGTTTTTCATTATCTCACCAAAAAAATTATTTTGTGTAGCGCCCTCTGCAACAGAACTCGATCATCCCTTTAAGCCTTTGATTGTTTAGACTTCTACTAAGAGAGGAGTGGGGTTTGCATTCAAGCACTATTTCACTATTCTCACTGCCCGGAAAGAACGATATAGTACAATATGATTATAACAATTAAAAGCATATCTTAATAGACAGACAGAAAGTGCGAAGAAGGTCATGAAGATCTTTCCTTTAGTATACTACATGTATTTTGCATTTTGGAATACCACAGAGCTATTTAAGGTGCTAACAACACAATGTTGAATTGTTATTTTGACTAATTTTGCTAATTTCCTGATATTCTTGTAGGGACCACTGGTTTACCAATTTTGTTAAAGTGGTGCGTCCCCTACATTACCCTTTCTGATCACCCAACCTACATCAGTAGTAAGTCCGATCGGATATTAAAAAAAAAATCTCTTCCGAATTTAATACACAGGTCAAAACCCAGTTTGTGATGATCGCGGAAATTATGATTTGCAACAAATCATAATTTCCGCGATCATCATATTATGTTTTATCATGCGTCTGGTGATAAGATGTTTATACATTAAATTGTAATGCGAGGCAGTGTAGCACCTGAGCAAGAAACGTAATCTTCCCATGAATACACCGATAAAATAAAATAAAATAAAAATGGGAACACCCCCGAATCACCGACATTGGCAGCAAGCAAACAAACATCACACGTTTAACAAACATTTCTCTCGCCATCAAGATACTTCTGAATAGGAAATTAACTGTGTATAAATTGAAAAGGACCGAGATTGTGTTCAAGCACTTTTTTCCTTTCAAGGCCAATAGTAAACATACTGTAACTGACCCCCCCCCCCCCCCTCCCCCCCCCCCCTAACACATGATCGACGTAGATCATAACCTTGTAGCACGGTAACTGAGGGTTGGTAAAGTGTTTGCTTTTAAAAACGGAAGTATTTGGATTTAATGTATAGTTCAAATTTTATTCAAAAAATGCCAGAGTCAATTTATATGAAAAATATACAAATATGATACACATGATGTGTACTGTACATCCTTTTTGAACGGCTCTATATTTGCAGATATCGGCCGACGTTATCAAAGCCCTTTTCCCCAGACTATCAAAGATGTTAGTAAAGTATATATGGTACAGTAAGTTTCGATTTCTGAACAGAAGGATTTCTCAACTCATATGTATCCCGAGTAGTCTGAGAATATGAACGATATATAACAGTCTCGAGCAAATTTATATGCGATAATACGGAACTAAGTTTTAGCGACCCTACATTCATCTTTTCTCAATGGTAGCAATATACTTTTTTAAATTTCGATTTAGAGCAACGAGAAGAATTTTTTTCCAAAATCATGACTTCGGGGAGCGGTACCTGCGTTTCTTTATCTTCACTATAACAATTGTTGGCAAAATATTCTGTTTTCAAAATAAAAACTGTGTACGGTAATACATATAAATAAGGCGTTCTTAATACCCCTTACATTTCAAGGCCAAAGTTCAGAGTTTTAGCCAAATTAACAGAGCCAGTTTTTAAAGCATTAACATCTGAAACATTATGCATTTTGGCATTTTCCTCTGATTAGTTTTACAAATTTGCACATATCATACATGTAGGTTAGTAATAATCTCTAATCTTATGATAACTATTTTTGCAGGAGAGTTAACATCTTATGACTAAAAGCACGTGAAAACATTTTCTACGGAATTTATACGAAGTCGAGATTTAGGTGACATTTTGCTTATAAAATGCATTTTTTAAATAAAGAATCAAACAAAGAAACAAACAAAAATATAAAAGAAAGGCATGGGGTGTAAAATGTCAAAACCCTTATTTCCAGAATAAGTCGGGTGCAATTTATATATGATAATATAGATATATTTTATAGAGAGTAATAATAATAATAATAATAATAGCTAGTTCTTATAAGCGCTTTTCAGGACCAATGGCCCTCTCAAAGCGCTTTACAGATATATAAAATTATTTTTACCCCGGTCATCGGATTCAGGCTTACCCGCCTACAATGTATGTTTATTTTCCACTCACTGGGGAACATTCCTGCCAGGCGTCATTTTTACAATAAAATATAATATAATATATACATGTTAGAGCGAGAAGGAAAAAAAAGGAAAATTGACTTTGTTGACAATTTTCAGGTATACTGCCCCTTACACAATTATATGCTCAAATGACCATGTTGATTTTTTTTATAAAAACATTCACTCGATCATGATCACCCCAGTAAGCAAGCAATCACACACTTATGGGTTTGGGAGAAAACACCGATGA